TTCCTGCTCTGCCCCTGCACTGCCCCGTGCCCAGCACCCTACCCTGGATACCCTGCTCCAGTCAGATGGGGCTCCGTGCCTCCTGCACAGGGCTGCCTTGTGCCCTGGCAACTGGGGAGCAGGGTTGCAGCTCCCCATTTGAGCTCTTACCCTGGCCCCAATAACGCTGTCCTGGCTGTGTGTGCTGTCCTGCACTTCCATCCCTCAGCAAAGCCAGCTCCACTGAGCCTCACCTGCGCTCGCTCTCCCTTGGGGTCCCGGCAGGCTGCAAAGACACACTCGGGAGGGTTTGGCATCTGCAGGAGCTGCCTGACAATTCCAAGGCCAATTCCTCGATTGGCCCCAGTGACTAGAGCAGAGTGGACACAAAGCCCTGCCATGCTGCTCTTCCTGCCTCTGCTCTAACTTGCATAGTTCACTCAGTTCCCTAATGCTACTTATATCTTGTTCAACTGCCACCCCACCCACTTAGGGCTTGCGCAAAGCCTCTGCTCTAGGGTCAGTCTCTCCAGCTTTTCAAACTCTCAAGGACACAGTTTCTGGCTGGGAGCCAGCCCTCATCACCGCAAAGGGCAAAAATCACTTGACTGCTCAGCTGCCTGTAGCTTGGCCCTGTGAAGCAGGAGCAATCAGCTACTCTGCCTAGGAGAAGCTGTGCTGAGTGAGGAGAGAGGGAGCAGCATGTGGAAGGGACGCAGGGTGCCCCAAGGCTCAGGTGGGCTTGAACAGCTTCACAGGCATTCTGCAAGCTAGCTGGGTTTTCTGTGTCCTACCCATATAACACCAGAAGCAGCTTGATCTCATTCCCCTTCTGCTGGTTTCCAGAGCTCCTCAGACAGAGCTGCAGGAGGCTACTCTGCTCTCCCCTGTCTTCTGAGTAAATTTCCCATCCCTGATTGTCCCATAAAAGACCTGCAGAGCAAGCCACTAGCATTGCCTTCTCGCAGAAGGAAGCGGACCCTGCACAGTCCGCACATCACCTCTCTGCTGTTCATGTACTCCATCCCTTTGGATGCTGCCTCCAGCCTTGACTTCCCCTCTGGGAGTTGTGACACACAATCCCAGTGTGAGCGTGCATCTGTGCCATATCAGAGTGCAGAGCAGCTGCTCCACGAGAAATCATACTGCAGAAGCAGTCTCGAGCAGAGCAGTCCTTCTGCCAGGGCCGCAGGAGGACTCAGGTGCCCTGGGTTGTCTTCCTGCAAGGATAAGTGCCTCGGTCAAAGCCCCCCTCTCCATGTTGCCCATAGGAGCTGGGTGCAGATAGCTCCACATTAGCATTAGTGAAGCCTGGTACTGCCACCAGGCTGACTGTGCTGCCCAATAGCTCGGGCCAGGCACTACAGCCAGGACGTGCAGTGCGGGAATGGGGCGGCACACACTTTTTGTGCACCTGCTCCCACAAGTATCTCTGCACTGAGATCAACTGCAAAGAAACTCAGAAACCTCTTGGCAATCCACTCAGCGCTTTCAAGCACTGAGTCCCAAAACCATGGAAGACTGAGGTGCTGGGTAGAAAGGCAGCAGTGGAGTCATTGACACTGCTAAGGTGTCTCCTTCTTCCCCAGGATATCTTGGCAGGAGTGTTAACCAGTTGCACTGCCAAGTGAGTCCTCATGCTCCCACAGCAGCCCCTTTCCTCCTCCCCACTCCTGCCTGCTTTCTGGGGCTAGGCTGGCAGACTCCACAAGTCAGCCAGGTCCTCCTTGCCACTCTGGGGCAATGCTGCCTGGGGTGCCCTCACCAAACCCAGTCAGAGGGACATGGCTTGGGGCCTGAGAAAGGGATGTCCACCAGAGGGTCCATCTCTGCCTCCTACTCAGTCCTACACCTGGATCTGACTCAGTCCTGCTCCGAGCATGCACCCTCATGTTATTGTTGCATTCACCTTCCCCTCCAAACAGAACATCTTCAAAATACTGCTGTGCCCAAGTTTGTTCCTGGGGACCCCACTGCACTGCAGGCCAGCTGCACTGTCACTATGATGCCACCAAAACAGGCAGTCCTGCCACGCTGCACCCATCTCACTGCCCTGTGCACTCTTATTTGAGCAGCAGAGTTGTGGTCTGGATCAGGGAACTGATCCAAAATGGAAATTAATTAGGCTTGTTTACCTCTGTCTCCATAGGCCCCTTCCTTCCTCGCTGCCCATTCTTGCCTTCCCTCCAGCCGTGCTGGCATAGGCCTTGCCAGGAGTGTGGGAGGTCTGTGTGCTCTGGCTGCCTCTAGTTGCAACGCAGAGCGCAGGGGGCTGCCACCAACTACATTCTGAACAGTTCCCAACAACACCAAAAGTACAAGGCTCCATTACCGTGGCAGTGTCCACTATACCTCTTTGTGTCTGACTTGGCATGGTCCAGCTGCCTGAGAGATCGTCTTCCTTTCCTAGCCTGCTTTCTCTAGACTCTCCTCCAGGCATTGGCTCAGGTGGTCACAGTCCATGTTTATCCAGAACACGACAGATCAGTGGGTTTTTTTGAAATCAGCATGGACCTCATTTAGATCTGGACTTTGCACCTTTGACAAATATTCTCAGCTGTAGTGATCAAGTCTCTCCCAGATATGCACATAAATCAGTAAATGTTCCTTTTTCAGAAAGGCATATTTACCAAGTACCATTTAGCAGTTAAGTATTGTAAGGACAACTTTAGCCAGCACAGACATGCCACAGATCATAATGGAAAAATTCCCATTTCAGTTTTGCTGTAGTCATAAAACAAATTCTCGCTTTGGCTGTTTGGCTGTTGAAATATCATCTCCTCGCTGGTGTGGTGAGATAACTGAATTTTGCATGTTCTTTTACAGCATTTCAGACTGATATACTAAATTCCTTTAGTAAACCTGCTCTGCCAGCCAGATCAGGCCCACTCTTCTCTCTCCAGCTCCAAGGGGGTTCTGTAATTTCCCCATCTCCTGGGATACACAAGTTGATGATAGCTCCAGTCTTTTCCTGCTCCCACAGCAAGTTTTGTCACGATATGTTCACTTGCTTTCACATCCTCTGGGTAAAATTTACCATTTTGTTTGCTTACCATAAATCCTAAAATAAATCTCAGATCATGTGGTAGAAATGCACACAAACACACAATGCTTTTCTACAGGAATTTCTGGCATAACAAATGAAAAATAATATTTATCAGCAGCCAATATACAATATTTCCCCTTTTGGACTGAGTGGCAAATGTTTCCTGCTAACATATATGTTTAGTTCTTCTGCTGTTATTCATAAGTCTTAGTGTACAGGTTTCTCTAAGCAATGGCCAGTGAGTGCATGCCCTGCTTCTTGGTCTGAATTCCCAGCGCAAAATACCCTTTCAGCTCCTCTTTTAGCCTCTACCTGAGGCCAGGAAACTTTTCTATGGACACCCTGTAAGATGGTTAGGCTCTTCTAGCCTAAGCTGACTCTTCAGGACTCGCCTCTCTCCTGAAAGACATCTTCTTCACACATTTTAACCCTCTAGCACTTCCGTGAAAGTACTTCTTGCTAACGCTGGAGGGAATATTATGTTTCTAGCGCTGCTTTGAGTACATTTTGTCTTGTACTGTATCAGCATGGTAGGCACTCATGTATTTCATTCACTTAGTAAGACATCCTTGTCACAGTCAAGACTAGAGTTTTACCCTTCTCCCTTCTGCTCTCTGTAGCTTTTTTTTTCATGACAATATCCTTTTTTCTGGCACCACAGTACTTTCTGCACCAGCATCCTATGAACTGTTGTTGCTTTGACAGTCATCAGGTACTGCGCTGTTCAGCTTCTTGGTGAAAAATTCCTCCATGTGAGCATGGCAGTAGCAATTGGATACCTCCCTCCTGTGCATCAGCAGCCTGTATTTGTGAGCTGACAGAATCAATTGCAGATATTTCCTCGTCTCCTTGCCCCAGGTCCCAGCCATCAGTCAGCATGTATTAGTTGTCCTAGCATTTGCAGCTCTGGATCGTTTTCTGTGAATTCTCTCTTTAAGCTCTGTGCATTTCTTTTTTCTCCAGTTTCTGTCCTGAGGCCAGTCAGATCTTATTCTATTTTTCTGATTCTTCAGATTGGGCTGACACTTCTTTTGTCTAGCAAATTCCTACTGCTTATCAACAGCAAGAATCGCTGGATCTTCACGCTGTCTCTCCTCATGAGTTTTGTCTCAGACTGATCTCAGTGAGCGTAACCAGTAATCTCTCACAGTAACCAGTGAGAGTAGCTACTGAAATTTCAGTTGTGTTCACACCCATCTAGATGTTTGCACATAGGGCAATTCCAGTGTTGCTTATGGAAATATGCTGTTCTTTGTTAGCCTGGGGAATGGGTGACAGAATGGGTGACAGAATTATCTTAATTAATATACCATGTAAGTAATAATAAATTAAATATTCAGTTTATTCACTCCACTGTGTATTTAGGGCAATTTGGGGCCATGTCAGCACATAATAGTCACTTGCTGAATAATCAGTAGATAGAAATGAATAAAGAGCTAAGTAGGCGGTGGGGTGGGACTTACCTAGCCCTGCCACTGCCTGCAGCATGAAGCTGGGCACATCACACCCACTCTTTATGACTCATTTCTCCATCGATAGAAGAGGACTAGTGACACCCCATTGTGAAGGGATTTGTCAGTGAAAAATCCTATCTGGGTTTGAGGTTTCTTTTATTTTCATCCACTTGTTTGCTCTATTTGTCATCTTCCAACCCAGTATTTCCCTGCTTTAGAAATATGAGAAAACAAAGTCTTTGAAAGGTGCTATTAGAGTGTCAGGGAGCAGCAGGAGTGGGCTGCACCAAAAAGGCAGGCAAGTGGGACCTGAGGGACACAGCAAGGCTGGCAGGTTAGGGACTTCCTCAACAGGGCACAGGCCCACAGCACCCAAGCAAAGAGGGCAGAGCTGTTTGAGTGACAGGAACAAAGTGGTTCCAGCCAAGTCCAAAGTGCTGAGGCAGGTCTGAGGCCAGTCAGCAAGGGAAGGGCAGGGTCAATAGAAGTGCATGGCCAGGCCCAGGCATGGCTGCAACATAGCTCACGCAAGGACCAAGGGGGAGGGCTGAGTTTAAATGCAGCTCCTGAGCAAAGTGGGGAGGTCTCAGTGAGGCTTCTCATGGTCCTCTTTTACAACCTTGCTGTTTTCCTAGCAACCTGATCCCAGGTTACAATCGCGCTGTATCAGAGCTAGCCTTGAGCCCTGACACCCAAACCCCTGGTAGGGAGGAAAGAGGATGCAAAGCACGCAGGACTGATATAGCAAACAATGTATTGACAAGAAAAGAAACTAAGGCTGAGGTAGGTTTCTGAGTGGCCTCTGCTCTATGCCTTGTGCTGCTGTTTGCCCCAAGCATCATTTAATAACCATCTGATCAGGTAGCAGGGTACACCTACTACAGATCATGTCCCTGCTCTTCCCTGTGGCGACCACATGAAGAAAGGCTTTTGCCTGGCTCAGGAAGCCAGTGAGTGAGTGAGCGAGGAGGAATGGTTTGCTTACATTAGTTGCAAGAGGTGTAAAAACAGCTGGCAACTGACTCTTCCTTAAGTATCTGCAGTGAGGTAGAGTCTGCAAGTGTCGTTCCATGTCATTTTGAGACAGCTGTGGGAATTGCCATGTCTCTAAAGCTCCTGATGGATCTACAGGGAATCATAAGCCATTTTTGTCTATCTTGGGCAGTGTGTAAAGCCATTCCTCTCTTTCCAAGCCCATGGAAGGCTCTCTGGTCCACACTCCTGAGGTCTGAATTCCACCAAAGTTCCTGAGCCAGGGGTTTCTTGTAAGCAGTGCAGGATCATTTTCTTTCAATAACAATTCTAATATGACACTTGTGAGGCTTAGTTATAGGTGCTGTTGCTGCTGCTGTTATGTCTATGGGAATCTCTGATACGGTTTTTGAACTCTACTGCACTTCTAGAAATTTTGCAATATATTAAAATCATGCCAATGTGTAGGGGCAATACAGATCTTTAAAACCAACTTTTCAGTGTCTTTGTAGGGAGAGGGGGGGAGTTCTGCCATATGTAAGCATTCTCTATGATGTAGGGTGGCTAAACTGCATTCAGGATGTTGTAATGATTTAGGCCTATGAAATAACATTTAAAATTAGAGAAGTGGTTAAAGCTGTTAGGTTTCAGTCCGAAGACCTGATGTGCTACTGTTGTGTTCAATTCAGATTTTGTGGCATACATGTTACTTCCTTATGCTTTCAAATAAGATCAGGCTTTTTAACACTGTCATTGATGCAAGATGGACTTTGGTGTCACCTGTCTTTTGATCTTTTTGACCTGAAATGCTTGGGATTTTATTTTCCTCCATAGTAACATGTGTTGCCAACAAGGAAAGCACTAACACTACTAAGAGAAAAGTTTGCATTGGCTTCAAAGTCCAGTTGTAATGTTAATGGTTATGAACATCCCTATATGAGCTTTTGTATCTTTGGGCTTTTATATTTCCTGGCTACAGACTTTACTGAAGCAGTACACTGCACTGAAGATAAAAGTAATAGCTGCTTTTCAATAGACAGTTGAAATTAAAATATGTAAAGTAGTAAAGATTTTTATAAAACTGTGGGTTTGGCTGTCTTGTTAGTAAGCTAATGCCATCTGTGACAGTCTGATTTTTGTTTAGAAGTTCAACCTCTCCAGCACATTATTTATATTTCAAACTGGACGTTTCCACCAAACCCTTAATTAACTTTGATGCCAAAGGTTGAGACTTCATCAAGTGTATCAAGTAGGACTTCAGACTACTGGCATAAGGAGTTAATGATTTATATATGAAGTTCATGACTTTTGAGAGAACCAAACAAAGCCTTTTAAGGAGCTAGGAACCTTTATCTTAACACCAAATCTAGAATTGCATTTGTGAAGGACATATACCTTGTTACTGTACTGGGATTCTACGAGACAGTTAACATATAGTGAGTAATGGAGAAATAATAGGTGTAACTTACTAGGATACTCTATATAAATAACCTCAAAAAATGAAGTAGATGAGTCTGATAATGTATTCAATGATGGCAGTGGTAACGGAGGGGCAGGACTGGAATAGTGTCTAAATGGTATAGCCTTTGAAACAGAGGAGCACTGCTAATTTAGAAATTTATATGGTTCTAACCTAGTGTCTGGGAAGTGAACAAAATAGAGAACAAAGCCAAAACTTTTGCCTTAGCTTTGGAGCTTGTTAAAATAACATGAGAAAACACTCCCCTACCCTACTACCAAGGGATAGTTTCTCATATCAGTCACTTCTCAAGCTGATAAAAATTTTTAGGCTACAAACACTGAAACAGATCTTTGTCCTCCCTTCTCTCAAACAAGTGTTAATATGATAAAAATTCAGCCTTGCATGTAATGAAGCTGAAGTACATTACTGAACATTGAATAACAGTTCATTTATTTATCTAATCCTCCACTTAGCACTGAACTGCATACTGTATTTCTGTAGTGCACAGTCTTAGACTGAGCGGTGAACAATAGGGAAGACACATCAAAATATAAATTTTCATAGTGAGACTCAAATGACTTAC